AAGCGAAGAAGGAGGAAAACCTGGCGGACTGGTACTCCCAGGTACGGGGGGCTGGCTGAGCGATTTTGGGGTGGCGGTGGTGCAGTATGGGTGCCGTGATTCCCGTCTCAGATGGGGATTGGTGGCGGATAGTGGGCTTCCATCCATACTTCCTGTTTACTAGTTTTTGTTTGTTTGTTTTTAATCAGTAAACACTTGCGTGATGAGGCAGTGACCTCATCGCTGCAACAAATATTCAAGATATGCAAAGAACTTGAATACCACATGCAAATACCTGGGTACAGCAGCACTGAAAAATTCATGTGCATGTTCATAATCTGACTGTTATTCTTCTTCAGTTAACACAAACGACACATAAGTAAATGGAAAAAATGACGGGTACAAGGCAAGATGGCCGACCTAGCACTGCTGGATAGCACCCAAAAAGCACTGAAATATTGCAGCCTTTTCAAAACATTAGTAGTGGTAATGCCTAAATGCCCTTACCCATAATGCCTTGCAACTTTCACATCAAGTAAAAACAAGTTTGTGCTCCTGTGACTTAATTCCACAGCCATGCTCAAAAAGCTGGTTCCACTATGCAACCTGCAGGCCAAACTTATTTAACCCTCTGCCTTTCCCAGGTCATCACCAAGGCTGAGATGATCGAGTACTATGACGTGAGCGGCTGCTACGTGCTGAGGCCCTGGGCCTATTCCATTTGGGAAGCCATTAAAGAGTTCTTCGACAGAGAGATCAAGAAACTGGGCGTGGAGAACTGCTACTTCCCCATGTTCGTGTCGCAGGCGGCGCTGGAGAAGGAGAAGACCCACATCGCTGACTTTGCCCCAGAGGTGCGGGAGGGAGGGGGGCTTATCTGAAGAGGGTAAATGATGGGAGGGAGGATGCAGGCTTCCTGGCCAGTAGCACAGTTACTCCTAGATTCTGGCTAAAGGATACTGATGGCATTACTAGGGGTGTACAGGGGGTGTTGAGAGCACCACATCCAGCAGAGTTTGAGATTGTGCTTTCCCCTAGGTGGCGTGGGTGACCCGGTCGGGGAAGACCGAGCTGGCGGAGCCCATCGCGGTCCGGCCCACCAGTGAGACAGGTAGCCGGAGACGTACTGTTTCCAAAGCACACACCGTGCTTTCAGCCCTGGGTTTTGTTTCCAAAAGCCGATGAATGAGTCTTTTCAAAGTACTAAATAAAGGCAAAGGGGGTGGGGCCACAGGGACACTGGCCCCAGCTGAATTCTGATTGGCCCCTGAAGTGTCCCCTCCCCTGTCACTCACTGACTCAAAACATATCATTGACTGATGAGGTCGGCCCCTATGTATGAATTATGGCTGCTCTTATGCCCCCGCCTTAAACCCTAAAATTGCTCTCATGTCTTTCTGTCTCCTTCTGCCCCCCCAGTGATGTACCCAGCTTATGCCAAGTGGGTCCAGTCACACAGGGACCTGCCCATCAAACTCAACCAGTGGTGCAACGTCGTGGTCAGTATCGCCTTCTGTCTACACACTGCATCATCTTCATGCTCCATTGTTCTTGATCTTGATGAGCTGTTTATCTTCCTGCCCCCCCCCCCCCCGTCTGTCTGTCCATGGCCTACAGAGATGGGAGTTCAAACACCCCCAGCCCTTCCTGCGGACTCGCGAGTTCCTCTGGCAGGAAGGGCACACCGCCTTTGCCACCAAGGAGGAGGCCGCAGAGGAGGTGGGGGCCTGGTTCCCATCCGCTCGTAATCACTGGGTGGACCTAACTTGGGGGGGGGGGGGTGATGATATCGACTTACTCTAGGGTCCGTATATAGCAGCAGAGCGATGTGAACATCTGACCGTTCAACCTAAAAGGAGCGAGGCTCATCACTGTGAGGAAATTCAACTCCCCCACCTCCTTTCAACAAGTAATGGTTTTCTCCTCAACCTCCAACCCCCCCCCCTTCTGGTCAGCTGAGCTGTTATTGCCAATCTGGGCTGCTTACTGAGCAATTTCGTATCATGTAGTGGTGTCTGGACTGTGGGCCAGCAGGTCAACCCAACCCCCCCCCCTGTAAAAACATTGTTGTGTTGACCGCCCTCTACACCGTCCTCCACAACAGGTGCTGCAAATCCTGGATCTGTACGCGCGTGTCTATGAGGAGCTGATGGCCATCCCCGTGGTGAAGGGCCGCAAGACCGAGAAGGAGAAGTTCGCTGGAGGAGATTACACCACCACGGTGGAGGCCTTTGTCTCCGCCAGCGGCAGGGCCGTTCAGGTGGGGCCCCCACACCTCCCAGCTCCACCTCCACCTCCACCTCTTGCTTTTACAGCAGCTATTTTGTCACTGCATGACACAAAGGGTGTCCGCCCATATTAGTTATGCGTTGATGGTTATGGAATTAGAGCCAATAACGGTAGCATTCTAGATGAGTGTTCGTTTCACTATGGCCGCCTTGAGGATGAAATGGAGAAACCAGCGTCCCAGTCATCTGCTTTCATAATGCACGAGTATCTTGCTGAAGGTTCCTGTCCTTTCTCACCCTACCGCCGCCCCCCCCCCCCCCCCCCCCCACCACAGGGAGCCACCTCCCACCACCTTGGCCAGAACTTCTCCCGGATGTTCGAGATCATGTTTGAGGACCCGAAGAAGCCCGGAGAGAAGCAGCTGGCCTACCAGAACTCGTGGGGCATCACGACCCGTACCATCGGTGTCCTGACCATGGTGCACGGGGACAACCAAGGGCTGGTGCTGCCCCCAAGGGTGGCCTGTCTGCAGGTTAGAGGCTCTGTGAGGTCGGCTAGGAGGAGAAACCGTGTGAAAGAGACCGTGTGGTCAGCGAGGGGTTGGCAGTTACAGCAGGGAATGAAGAGGTGAATCATCGTAGGGACCTTGTCACCCAGCAACTCACAAGAGAAACTATTTCCAAATCGACTGCTGAGAGATTTGAAAGTAAATCTGACGATGATCAGCTCAGTAGCAAGAGCTGGGGATGGAAATAGGGGGGATTTGAACCTATGAGTACAAGGTGGTGAATCAGTTAAGGGACTGAACCTGTGAAGGTTGACTCAGATTCCTGGAAGGGAATCAATACTGTACCCTTGGTCAAGAGTCCTTCAGTCAATAAACGGCTAGGACTGTGGCTTGAGATAAAGCCAGATACTTTGAGGTGACTCTCTTTGGCGCCTCACCAGGTGATCATCATCCCCTGTGGCATCACAGCCTCACTGGCTGAAGCTGAGAAGGAGGCCCTGCTGGCCCAGTGCTCCAGGTACCTTGCCCAGCTGCAGAAGAGCGGTTTTAGGGTCAAGGCCGACCTGCGGGACAACTACTCCCCTGGCTGGAAGTTCAACCACTGGGAGCTGAAGGTAACTAGCCAGCATGCCTCCTTTCTGTGTGTGGAATCTGTTCCTTGAACCGGGGGGGGTGGGGGTGATGAACCCTGGAGAAGCAGCAAACATGCAACAAATGTCATGGACACGTCATTGCATGCTAGAGTGTGTGTGTGTGTGTGATAGTGTGAGACACTGTTGAAGCTCGTGAATGGAGACACTTATGCTCCACTGAGCACTTCTGTTTTCCTCCACGCTCATGGGACCTTTCCAGGGCGTTCCCGTGCGCCTGGAGGTGGGACCCAAGGACCTAAAGCAGAGCCAGTGCGTGGCAGTGAGGAGGGACACGGGGGAGAAGCTCACCCTGCCTGAGGCTGCGGTGGAGAGCCGGCTGACGCAGCTCCTGGAGGACATCCAGAACAACCTCTTTCAGAGGTAGGACTTCAGGCTGCCATGCACAGTCTCCATGCATCCTTAGAGGGCAACGTGACTTTTCCTGAACTCCCTGCTTTTATCAGGGCTTCGGATGACCTGAAGAAGCACATGGTGGTGGCTGACAGCATGGAGCAGTTCCAGAATGATCTGGACCAGGGCAAGGTAAGCGATCCGACGGAGGGGGAGGGTAGATGTCGTACCGGAAGAGACACTGGAATGGATGCCATGAAATTTGGTTTACGGTCACTTGCATCTCAGTGCTGTTGAGTCATTCGCTTCAGTTGTGTGGCCCACTTGAAGTGTATGATTCCTGTCGTGTGGATCTGCCCACGTTTCTGGTGGATGAGTATGTTTGGCTGCTAGATACTGGCATCTCAAAGTCAGTGTATCTATCTTCCGGTGGCCCCCAGATCGTACAGATCCCCTTCTGTGGCCGTATTGAGTGTGAGGACTGGATTAAGAAGATCACTGCCAAGTAAGTTATCTGTCTTTAAGGGGGGGGTGGTTTCTGGGGTTGCCAGGAAACCAGGTAAGGGTTTCTGACGAAAGCTTGTTCTTGCTCCACCACAGGGACCAGGACCTGGAGCCCGGGGCCCCTTCTATGGGCGCCAAGAGTCTCTGCATTCCTTTCCAGCCCCTGAAGACACTGCAGGCCGGCCAGATGTGCGTGAGCGGCAAGGAGCCAGCGCAGTTCTACACGCTCTTTGGCCGCAGTTACTGAGGCAGAGTAGAGTGGTGGTTGTCTAGCGCCCCCTGTCCTTCTCGTAACCCCCTACCCACACACACACACACACACACACACACACCCTAGAGACAATATGGTGTGACTGTAACAACAAGCCTTCACCTCTCACCTCAGTCAGGTCCTCACTGTAGTCCTCTAACCCTGCAATTAGACCCCCCCCGCGCCTGTGATTCTCAGGACTGTACAGCTCAATGTAGGAGGGGCCCACAAGCGAGAGGGGGGTAACTGCAAAGTTTCCATTGACCAATAATCCATCTGCAGGGTCTTATCTGCTGGACTGCTGAGAGGACAGAGGAGGTCCTGTCTGTAAAGTCCTTCACCCTGTCACTAGGTGTGCCATGTCCCTCATAGTAAATTAACTCATAACGCTGGAGTCAGCCATGAATCTGTTACGTTGTAGGACCGACATGTAATAAAATGATTCTCTGTACCACTTTTCCTGTCATTTCTCCAAGTATAATATTCACAACCTTTTTTCTTTTTTAAATCTGGGTTTCACTTGATGGGACAAATAAAACCAGTCTTATGCAAATGAACAATGTTGTTATTTTGATGGTGACAGACTGCTTGCTTTCACATTACATCTAATAATACAGAATTCAGCCATGTGCATACTGCTAGCAGGATATGCATTCCCGTATGACTGTAGTTCGTTTGGCTGACTGGACAGAAAATGACCATCCCCAAACAAATTCTACTGTCCAGCACACAAACTGCCCCTTTGCATACATACCGAGAAAAGGACAACAGATCTTTCAGTACATTTTCTGAAGAGCTCGCGTTCTTGCCATTTCGCAATTATTTTTTGTTTAAAATATACCTATTCCCAAGGTTAGTGCAAAACGTCCAAATAATACTTACTGGACTTAAAGGATAAAATAACATTCTCTTTGAACATATTTGAAAATGTAAACCCAGCATCATTCATTACTGTTATGTAAAACCTGTTTTGGAGAGTTGTAGGCGCAAAAAAAATCGCCTTTATGAATTATCTTGAAAATATAATGTACACAGTATTAAACAGCTGTCCGTAACGAACCGAACTGTCATTAAAAGTCCACTGGAGCGGAGTGTTTAAAAAGGCGTAACTCGGCATTGTGCCGGCGACGTTAAAATACTTCTCATGCTTGAAGAAAACGACCCCCTTAAACATGCGTTACAAATAACAGCACGATAAATGCACTTTGATCAAAAAAAAAAAAAATGTCCGTGAATAGACCGCAGTGCTAGTGAAAGTCTGCGGGGAGCACCGGGTGCAGGACGGGCAGCTGCTTCAGGGAACTGGGGATGGCAAGCTCCTGCAGACTCTTGGGGAACCTGTCGCTGGGCAGCAGCTGCAAGACCTTCTGCATAGCTATGAGGAGCAGCGATCCGGGGCTTTTCCCCGTAAGGTAGTTGAAGCGATCCTCGCCCAAGACCTTGGTCCAGGCAGCGGGGTCCTTCTCCAGGGAACTCTTCGTATTGAAACGCAGTTTGGTCATAAACAGGATCATGTTATCCAGACAGAGGCGCTTCTCCCCCGCCGCGGTACTGCCGGCGTCCCGCAGCTTCTTCAGCAGCAGGTCCACGGGCGTCATGCCGTCGCCGTCCTCGGTCTGCGGCGAGGCGCCGTTTCCCAGCAGCAGGGTGATCATCTCCAGGTGAAGAAGCTCGCAGGCGAGATGCAGCGGCGTCTTGCCGTCCTCCAGACTGAAGCAGTCGCCACGCCGCAGGCAGGAACGCAGACTGGGCACCTTGTGCACCGCCCGTAGGATGATCTCTAAAATATCCTTGCGTTCGTATCTGACAGCCATGGCCAAGTGCGGAGCCGCCGCCGGATAGCTGCAGATGTACTTACTGGGCATAGCTAAAGCCTCCTCGGCGTACTGGCTGAGGAGGTACTGGGCATAGGCTTGGTGGTCATGCACGATAGCGTAGAGGAGAGCCTCCGAGGGGGTGTAGGTCCTCCGTCGCTGCTGCCTGTCCCAGTAAAACGTTTCCATAGTCCTCATGTCCTCCAGCTTCCAGACCGGGTGCAGGTCCCGGATCGCTTGGTAGTAAATGAAGGACAGCAGTCTGCGGTGCAAGCCTCTGTCCTCGGCCGGCAGCCTGCCGAACCTGCTCGTAGACATCTCGCTTTTCCCGGGAGCCGATCATACACTCCGCTCCACCGATTCAGCCACTCCTGCTCCGACCGCCGCAGCCACTCCGGTCCCGGGAAGCGCACCGGTGCACATGGCGCCCGCAGTCCTGCATGCGTCCGCCCGAACCGGCCGACTCCCGAAGCCCGTGAGGCGGGTACGCGCTCCCGCGACAGCGGCGCCCGGCTCGCCTCCCTTCGCCGCAGTGCAGTGGGGCTCACGCAGGCGCACGGCCGCTTAACCTTTCGTCCGTCAAACTGGGAGACGTAAATGGTAACCGATCCACGTTTATTGCCTTCGCCGGCTGCCCTTACACTCCCATTGTCACATGGCCGGTGCTGCGCAAGAAAAAAAGATTCGAAACGACCGCCGCCTTCCAGATAACAGGGCTCCGTGCTGGTAATGCCAGTGACTATCCCATCTCCGCAGCCCTGCGAGCCGTCCTGTTTGCTTAGCCACGGTATCGATGCCCCGTCCCAAGTATTTTTAGGCTAAAAATGTGTCCACTAAGCAGTCTGATCGGTACGGCACGTACAAATATTTTGACAAATGTTCTATACCAAAAAACACTTAATCAGCATGACATACAGTCTGATTAAAACGTTCAGCTACGAATCCCTTTTAATATACGTCGTTTAAATTATTTATAATGTAAAACCGCGTTCCTGGACGGCCCGTCACTTTGTCCTAGTGGCGTCTACAAATTTGTAATAATACGTATTTTATGATTTATAAGTCGTTTAACGTACGTCATTTCATTCTGTCTCCTCATAACTCTCATATCATAGAAACAACTGCACGGACTAATGCCGGAAACGGCATAGTTTAAATTTCAAAGGCGAACATTTTAAAATAGACTCCAGAAGTCCTGTTGTGCAACCGCTGTCAGGCAACCTCATGGCGAGTTTTAGCATGCCATTAACCCTTTATACCACATTGCTAATTTCCAAACTATCTATCTTTATTCGGTTTTAACAGGTATCCTTAACCGAAAAAAACGGTTGTGGGTAGAATTTTTCGAAATTCACTGAATCTATTATAATTAACTATAGATCTCTATAAAATGCCGACAACAATTTGCTGTAAATCAACTATTTTTTTAAAGTATGAAATTACACCCCAGGTGACATCAAGTCTGAATTTTACAGTTCCGATAAACATTTGTCCTTTCTGGATCATCACGGTAAGTAAGATCAGGAATCCCGGCAATCACAAACATCTGACAAAATCCAATGAGAAAACGCACCCGGTGGTTCAAGGCTATCAACTTTCAGGATTCGGCGTTATTTCGAAAAATAATACTGTCACCTGCCGGCAAGTTCGCGTAAATGGTTATGCCAGCAATTTAAAAATGAATTCGACAGCTTATGAAACTTTTCCGTGCAAATAATACGAAGCTTTTTTGAATTAAGCTATATTTCGCCGTTAATTAAACTCGTAAAATTAATGAGTGTGAATGTTTTTCTTTATTCATGCATTAAAAAAACGGAGCCCAGAAAATCTACAAACAATGTCAATGAGTATAAAATATTAATGTGTTTTTTTTTCCCGGAGCGGCGTCCCGGCGGTGACATCATGAGCTGGGCGGACTCGACAGCCTCCGAACCATCCCGACGCTGCGCTTCCTGTGCCGCCTTATCTTCCGCTGTCCGGTCCTGCTTCGGCACTCGGACCATTTTTAGCAGCAAACATGAGCGATCAGGGTCTCTCCAACGAAGCCGTGGCGGCTGCTTGCAAAGACGGACCCCTGATGAGTAAGGTACGGCCGCGTACGGGCTGCTGCATAACGTCGTATAATCCGCTCTAGTGGAGAAAAAGACCAGCAGGGTGTTGAACTTGGGCCTGTTTTCCGTGCCATGCGACTAGCAAGCATGCAAGCAGATTTTTAAGTTATAATTCGAGTACCAGTAATATACTGGATCTTCCAGCCGTACTATTAAAAATTTGCTAATAAAACTGTACTTGTCCTCTTAATTGAGTGAATACCCACGATCCAACTCTTTGCACTTCGGTTGATCCACCATATACGCGCAATCGACGACAAGCAACAATTACGCAGTGTTTGACGTGTCTGACAGCCCGGCACGTGCTGAAGAGGGGGCTGGGGTGCCTGAGCACCGTGTTGCCCGATAAATTTAATCTGAACTTTTGCGTGAGCTTTAGATGTGCCTGGAGTTTCTTTTTTATTCTTTGAGCACCTTTGCTCAAAAAGTCTCTGCACAGCCCTGCTGATGTCATTCTTCCCTACTCTGCATTCAGTTTTTAAATTATTCCTGTTGAAAGGCAGAGGATGGTTCTGCTGGCGCCGATAGCATGGTGATAGACGCCAAGATCACTGGATGTTTGTGCCAAAATGTTGCAGTGGCGTACCTTGGCATACAAATGCAGTGCTGGCAAAGCATGTTGCCACTGGACCTGCCCCGAGTTGGACCTCTGCAAATGCCCACTCATGAGCACTTTCTCGGAGTTGGGGGGGGGGTGCACGGCTGTGTGATTGCTAATGCATCCTATTGTTTGTGCTGCAGGACTTCATGATGCAACAGACGATGCTGAGAGTGAAAGACCCAGTGAAATCGTTGGATTTCTACACGCGCATCCTGGGCATGACGTGAGTGGCCCCCTTGTTCTCTACCTCCATCACCCTTTTTATGGCAAGAGCCAGTCGGAGCTGCTCAGTAATATGCGAGTCTTATCACATTCTCAGGCTGCCTGCTTGAATTCATCTTCGTTCTGAGCTAAAGATTTGTAGTGTTCCTGCGTCCAGCCCCCCACCCTGCATCTCCGTTTATCCATGTTCAATTCAGTTTTAATTCAATTAATTTTATTTGTATATAGAGCCTTTCACAACAGATTTGTCCCAGAGTGCTTTACATGGGTTTGTTGTGGCCATACTAACATTATAGGAAAAAGAGAGAGCGAGCTTGTTTGCTAAAAGCAAGGTGTAGACTGTGGTCAGGGTCAGAGCCAAAGTCCATCAATGAGTCGGTTCCCCACGCTGAGGTAAGTAGGGGAACTTTGAAGTCGGCTCTAAACCTAACAGGAAGCCAGTACAGGGAAATAAGAACAGGAGCTCTGCTTCGAGCTGCTGCATTTTGAATATGCTGCAAGGTGTTTAATGAGCACTGTGCTCCCCAATAACAGAGCATTACAGTGGTCTGACCTACTATACAAAGGCATGTATCAGTTTCAGTGTTTTGAATAGTAAGAAATCGCTGCAGTTTGGGATTATGTGGTTGCTGTAGGAAGCATGCCTTCAATACTGCACCCACTTGCGATTTAAATGAGAGGCTTAAGTCTAGGTTACGGGCTGAGCCTCACGGAGTGGAGTGTGGAACGTTCAAAAAGATTCAGGGTGTGTGCACGTTGTTTGCATCAGAGTTATTTGTGACCCATTTGAACATGTTTGAAGTCCATAAAATGTTCATTACGCAATATTTTTTGGTAGCAGAAGTTCAGCCGTCTAAATAGTTGTTAGATTTAGGGGATGCTGGGATATGGAGTTCCTGAGTCGCAGCCAGACCTGAGCTACAGGTGAGGAAATAAACAGCCTTCGATTTAAGATCGCAAGGCCGAGGCCTGAGTGGTGCTTACAGTCAGGCAGGTCAGATGTTTGTCATGCTTTGGGGTAACGAACATGATCCCCTCCAATTAGGATGGAGACTGTCCTGTTTATAAAAGCAGTTATAGGTCACTCCACTACTACTTTAGGTTACATCCCCTCTATAGAGCATTGGTAAGGGACCAGAGACAATTAGTTTCCCTTTTGTATCAACTATATGTTAAACTCAATGTACTGTGTTCCCCCCCCCCACACTTCTCCAGTCTGCTGCAGAAATTTGACTTCCCCTCCATGCGTTTCTCGCTGTACTTCATGGGCTTCGAGGACAAGAATGAGATCCCTGTGGACGTGAAGGAGAGGACGGCCTGGACCTTCTCTCGACGGGCCACCATCGAGCTGACGCAGTGAGCCCCCTCCTGCCCCCACCCTCTTTACTTTTACTCTAACATCAATCCTTCCACGAACAGCACATTGCTTGGGTCCCTTAAGGTTTTGCATAGTGATTAGTGCTACCACCACGTTTAATTATAGCACAGGCCCTTGTTATGTCTAGCTATTTAGTAATACAGTACAGTGCCCCCAAGTGGCTAGATGAGTGAAGGATTTCTTCTAAGCTCAGGCTGTATGCTGCAGCTCCAGTTATTCTCCAAGTCATTAGCCTCTTTCAGTCACTTCATTCAGTTACAAGACCATCCGATGGCAGCAATTGTGGTTCCTCCAGTCATCTCTTAGCCCACATTTTGGGGGTGGAGACAGTAAGCTGATTGGCTGGAGCGCAGCTTGGGAAAGTGGCCCAGCTGCCCTTGGCTTCCCTGCCCGCTCAGGGATGTTGCGGCAGGCTGAGTTTGCTGCAGGGTCTCAAACACTGAAGCTAGCAGATGCTGATTGGATGATTGCCTGTCAGGAGTAATGAGGCGTGTTTTTTTGGTTCTGCAGCAACTGGGGCTCAGAGTCTGACACCCAGACGTACCACAACGGGAACTCGGATCCCCGCGGCTTCGGTGAGTCCACGCGTGTGGCGAGATGCCCTCGATTCGATCGGCTGGTTTCACAGCAGATTGATGGACTCCAGTTTCACACGAGCTTAGCGGTGCTGACTCTCCTCCTTGTGTTTTGCTTGCCTCGCCCCCCCTCGCCGCCCGGATCTCAGGACACCTCGGCATCGCGGTGCCAGACGTTGATGCCGCCTGCAAGTTCTTTGAGGAGCAGGGCGTCACTTTCGTGAAGAAACCGGATGATGGTAAGGAAGGTTCCCTCGCTAATTTAAGTGTAGCCTTCAGGGCCGGTAAGAAGCAGATCGTGAGCTTCTGGGTTACTCCTGTTTTTCAGATGTCGTATGACATCAGACACTGTTGGCATATCTCAGATCATTTAAGTGATTTTTATTGTTGAAGTGATGTAGCATTCAACTTAATTCTAGTCTAGATTAAAACTTTGGGAACTGAAACTGCTACCTTGAATTTTGAGCAGACATGAAGTATTTATCTATGAATCAGTGAAACAAGGCTAAGAATGTGTCAGGATCAGTTGTCAATATGGAGGTTTAGGCATCTGATGATTGCTAAATAACCAAACTTTTAGGCAGAATACACAAATAAATGTGTAGTGTCATTAAACATGTTGAAATGTTTCTATATCTGTATAGTATTATTGGGGGGTGTTCATTCTGATGTAAAAGGGCAAATATTCCTGGATATACCTTTACATTTGGGTTTATTACCTATCCACTACAGGTAAAATGAAAGGTCTGGCATTCATACAAGATCCGGATGGTTATTGGATCGAGATCCTGAGCCCAAACAACATGGTCTCCATAACCAGCTAGAGAGACCTCGATGGAAGATTGGGGGATGAACACAACAGCAGCTATGGGGTGGTGGGGGGGGGGCAGCAAATACTGAATGGGGGTTTGTCTATCTCTGGAATGAAAATAGGATGGAGCGGGAGGAACTGCAGTGACTGTGAGGGGGTTGGATGGTCAGAATCATCTCTGCCCTGGAACGTGGTGTAAACATGAACGACCTCAACCGTTTAGTCTCATGACTCTTTGTTCAATATGCCAGTGTGCAGCCCTCTGAATGGAGATTCAGGTTCTCTATGGTGTGGATGTGCTATAAAATCTAGCTTCACCGACACTGTGCAGTGTGTGCGTTTTGCAGTAACTCAAAGCGCATATGCCAATATTTCATGCTGTGATGCTCTTTGTTTGTCCCCAGTGTACATCGCTTGTATTCTCTAATGTTTCTGCATTACTCAGTGATGTTTGACACTAAAACACGAGATCGCAGAAGAAAATAAAATGAGGTTGGATGGAAAAAAGTATGCTGAGTGTTTGAAAAACAACTATTTATTATTCATACCATTCGTAATCCTTTTCATCAACTTATCGACCTAGAGCAGTTGTAAGACTGATATAATCCTTACCAGAATTAAGAACTTTCTAGAAAGTGAACTAGCGCCTACTGCCGAGTTGGATGATAATAGTGTTTTCGTTGCTTGTCTTTTGGCTTCCTGGCCGGTGGGGGGCGCTCGTTTCTCTATAAAAGCGACACCTTCAACAACATCCGGGTCACGCCCCGTTGGCCCAGTTTGGATTCGCGACTCTGACGTCAGCAGTCGGTGTCTAACCGCCGGTTCGCGTCGCTGGTGCCGCCGCCGCCGGGGAGTCGTCCTGTTGCCTGTGGCTCTGCGCTGTTCTGACACATAAAGGAGCCTGGAAACCGAAGGGAGCAGAGCCGCGTCTCCGTTAGCTCGCTGGCTAGCTGCTGCCCGGTAAGTCGCCGGCCAGACGCCCGAAGGGGGAGGGTCAGGCTGCTCTTGCCAGCTGTCAGTACCGAGTGACGGAAAGCACCGGTTCCGAGTCTCCGGGGAGGCTCCGGAGACCCAGATATGATGACAGCGTCCACGTTTACTAGCATATTTACCGGCACTGCAGAAATGCGCTAACAGCCGGAGCTGCGCGGTCTTGTTCCCGATGAAACGCGGGAGATAGATGACGCACCGCGAAAAGGGGTTTCGGTACCTGATCCGGGCGGTCGGGAGCCGCTCATGTGCGCGGATGCTGCATTATCACTGCGTTTCAGCCGGGTGAATAAAAATGCTGTCGTATTTACATGTGAAAGGTGACCATGACTGGCCGTAATGGCTGTTGCACTGATGTCGGACCGGTGGGGCCGCGCAGCCCGCCTTGCGCGTGTCCGTCTGCGCCGGATTGACATTAAAACGCCGCAAAGATCGCGGTGTCCCGGTATCGCCGCTGTTAAGGTTCAGGGCATGTTTCAGCGCTGCGCCCAGGCCGGAAAAACAGGCGGGACGCGCTGCCGTCTTAATCATAGGTGGGAGGCGGCGGCAGCTCGGCCTTTTTGTTTCATTCGTTGAGTCATAATCAGCTGTTAAGAGCCGTGTATTGTTCTAGTAAATTAACCTCACGGGCGACGCTTTAACGTTACCATGTAACTGGATGACGGTGGATATGTTGAGAGCGACTCGGAATGACAGGCGTCCCCGCCCCTCTCTCCGTCCGCCAGCCGTGATAGCGCCCCGCGGTGGCGGCCATGAGTAACAGCCACCCCCTGCGACCCCACGGCTCCGTGTCGGAGATCGACCACGTGCACCTGCTGTCGGAGCAGCTGGGGGCCCTGGTGCCGGGTGAGGACTACAGCGATGTTACCTTCATCGTGGAGGAGAAGCGCTTTCCTGCGCACCGGGTGATTCTGGCCGCACGCTGTCACTTTTTCAGGTAACATCCTGCGGTATTAACAGGTGTGAGCAGTCGATGCGGTTATTGTGTGACTCGCTAGAAGCTTGTTATTATCGTCACTGACCCTGAGCACTTTGTGAGCCAAATGTTTGCACCGCAGATCAATACCCTCAATCCAAGCTGCCGTTAGAGGCTCCTTAGGTCATATTTGATGCTATGAGCCTAATGTATCCTGCTTTCAGTGGTAATGTCGGGTCAAATACAAATTTAATGACAATTTATCGTTTAAATTAAATTTGACAGAACAAGGTTATGTGGCAGTTATTCACTAAGCCTGCAAGATGATCCTGAGAGCAAGATTTTTATTCCCCGATCGTTTTAAATGAGGTTTATCTGGAGACCTCAGGATATAACTCTCAGAACCTGATTGGTCTGACCTGGGTCATGTGATGTCTCCACTCCTCCCACTCAGAGCTCTGCTTTATGGAGGCATGAAGGAGTCTCAGCCCCAGGCTGAGGTCCCACTGGGGGACACGCGGGCAGAGGCCTTTTCCATGCTGCTGCAGTACCTGTACACGGGCCGGGCCAGCCTGAGCTCGGCCCGCGAGGAGACGCTGCTGGACTTTCTGGGCCTGGCGCATCGCTACGGCTTGCAGCCACTGGAAGACTCTGTGTCGGAGTTCCTGCGCACCGTGCTGCACACCCACAACGTGTGCCTGGTGTTCGACGTGGCCAGCCTGTACTGCCTGGACACGCTCAGCGCCGCCTGCTGCGCGTACATGGACCGGCACGCCCCTGAGGTGCTGGTGTCCGACGGCTTCCTCGCCCTGTCCAAGGTGGGTGGGATCGGGGCAGGGGGCTTGGTGTCAGGAGGAAGCAGTTTGTCAGCCCTGTGCAGCTGTTTATGAATGCCACTGTTGTTATTACATATTAGTTATAAAATGTACTTTATTGGCCCCAGGGGAGGGGGCAGCACAGTGCTGCTGTGGGTATCATGGTCGCCTCACACCCCTGGAGGATTTGAGTCTCCATCCCGGCCTGCGTTATTCCCTGCCTTGCACCTGTTTCCAGAATGGGTTCCATACCCCCACAACCCTGTACAGGACAAGTGGGTGTGGAAACAGGATGGATGGATGGGTCCCAGGAAAACCCTTATTTCGTTTCATTCAATTTTAAATTCTTTTTTTATTTTTTTTAATTCCTTTGTTGTTATGATTGGGACCAATGTGTGGCCCAGTGGGTGCCTGATCAGAAGGTCGCTGGTTCAAATCCCGGGGTTGGCAGAGTGCTGTCACTGTTGGGTCCCCGAGTCCAGGGACTGGCTGGCCCTACTGTCTAAATCATATATCACTTTAGTTAAAAGCTAAATAAATAAAATGTAATTATAATAATATCATTTTAGACGTAACGGTCTCTCTCTCCCCGTACTCCTTCCCACAGACGGCGCTTTTGACGGTGGTCCGCAGAGACTCCTTTGCCGCCACTGAGAAGGACATCTTCCTGGCGCTGAGCCGCTGGTGCCGGCACAACGGCGAGTCCACGGCACAGGAAGTGATGTCGGCGGTGCGGCTGCCTCTCATGAGCCTGACGGAGATGCTGAATGTGGTGCGGCCGTCTGGCCTCGTCACCCCCGACGACCTGCTGGACGCTATTAAGATGCGCTCCGAGAGCCGCGATATGGACCTCAACTACCGCGGCATGCTGAGTGAGCCCCCTGGTCCTAGTGCCGGTTTAGTTCTAGTCAGTTGGCACCATTTTTATATTTGGAGCAGAGCCGTTATCTGTCCCGGAAAACGTAATTGGTCCCCGAATGGGGGCTGGACGGAGGCCTCTGGGAGCTCAGCCGGGACCGATTAGCTTTGTGGGCCTCAGGTCTCCCTGCCTACAGTTCAGCTAACGCGTGATAACGGTCTTTGCGGATTGTCAGCAGTCGTGCTCGTAATAGTGCTCACGTGGGCGTGTGTAAGAGACCAGGCTGTGGGGGATGTCGCTGCGGCGGTGCGGCTCCCAGTTTCGGGGTCGTCAGTGCCCACCATCAGCACTCCCAGCTTATAATGGCTACTTCTGTCTTCTCGCCCCAATCAGTCCCCGAGGAGAACATCGCCACCATGAAGCACGGTGCCCAGGTGGTGAAGGGCGAGCTGAAGTCGGCGCTCCTGGACGGCGACACGCAGAACTACGACCTGGACCATGGCTTCTCCCGGCACCCCATTGAGGACGAGGGCCGTGCCGGCATCCAGGTCAAGCTGGGCCAGGCTTCCATCATCAACCACATCCGCATCCTGTTGTGGGACCGGGACAGCCGGTACGGCATGAGGGGGGGTTAAAATGCGGAGTAATTTCATGTCATTTCAGTGCAAATAGAGAGAGAGTAAGTATGCATAATGCCAATGCATAACAGGAAGTTGAGTGATTGCAGTGATTGACAGGATGCAGAAGCCCCGCCCACTGGTCCCTTTCCTTCCTGTGCAGGTCGTACTCGTACTACATCGAGGTGTCCATGGACGAGCTGGACTGGGTGCGTGTGGTGGACCACTCCAAGTTTCTGTGCCGCTCCTGGCAGAACCTCTACTTCCCGGCGCGTGTCTGCAGGTAACGCTGCGTATGTGACACCCTGAGCTGCGCCCCGTCCGTCCCGCGTGCCCTCGCATGAGACCCAAATCCCGCGTTTCTGTCTACCTCAGGTACGTGCGCATCGTGGGGACCCACAACACTGTCAACAAGGTCTTCCATCTGGTGGCCTTCGAATGCATGTTCACCCATCGGCCCTTCACGCTGGAGAAAGGGCTTCTGGGTAAGCAGCTGACGGGATTGGGGTCGGAGGGGCTGTCGCTGTTTTCGGGGGGGGCAGAAGCTCTGAACACACTTCCTCTTGGCAGTGGCCTCGGAGAACGTGGCCACCGTCACGGCCTGCGCCAGCGTCATTGAGGGCGTCAGCCGCAGCCGTAACGCGCTGCTCAACGGTGACACTCGCAACTACGACTGGGACTCGGGTTACACCTGCCACCAGCTGGGCTCCGGGGCCATCGTTATTCAGCTGGCCCAGCCCTACGTGATATCCTCACTCAGGTATGACGCCCCCCCCCCCCTCCTCTGCCAGTTCCACCCCCCCTAAAAAAAAAAAAAGCTGATCCTCACTTCCCGGCGGTGTCAGGCTGCTCCTGTGGGACTGTGACGAGCGAAGTTACAGCTACTACATCGAACTCTCCACCAATCAGCAGCAGTGGCTCCGGGTGGTGGACCGTACCAAGGTGGCGTGCAGGTGTGTCCGCCCAGCTGCCCGGATCAATATACCGAGACCACGTTAGCCTAAGCTAATCCCCGAGGAAGTGGAGAGAGCTGTTGTGCGTGTATTGTCCTGATTGCTGTCATCCCACCCTCTCGAAGGTCGTGGCAGACACTGACCTTCGAGAAGCAGCCCGCCTGCTTCATCCGCATCGTGGGAACGCACAACACGGCTAACGAGGTAAGTTGGGGGTGTGGCAATGAGCTGCCCAATCACCGGTGTCCATTGTGGCTCACTTTTTTGGCTCCTTATAGCTGAGCCCCTGACCACAGCTCTCCCCCTCACAGGTCTTCCACTGCGTCCACTTCGAGTGTCCGGCCCAGCTGGACGTGGAGGTGAAGGAGGGCAGCCCCGGGCTGGGCACCCCTGATCCCAGCTCCTCCCCCCAGCTGTCCCAGCAGCCCCGCCCCCCACGCCCATCCCGCACCCAGAACCTGGCCCCCCTACACTCCATGTCCCCGCAGCCTTCCCCGTCCTCCTCCTCATCCTCCTCGCAGTCCAACCACTGAGGCCCCCCCCCCCGCTACAGAGACGGAGGAGCCGATCGGACTGAGTGCACAGGTCTCTGGGGGACATGCTCCATGCTGCTAAGCTAATTATTTATTACTGAAAGGATTACGAAGGAATGGTTCAGAAGAACTCTGACGTCGTCTGAAGATTTGGTTCATTTTATAAGCTGGAATGAGCTGACAGAGTTTTATAATCACGCATAAGATGGTCAGGGTCTTCTGGTAGGAATTAGGCAATTAATTAAGAATAATAATACACATAGGCTACAAGCATACACATGCTGGGGTAGGAATGGCACGACCCCCCCCCCAATTCATGCTCTCCTGGCTCGTCAATAAATGATGTGGACTCACCCACAGCTGGGGAGGGAAGGGGGAGATCAGGAAGAGAATGGACCAGACCTTTTTCCCAGTTACGAGGGGGAGCTGAAGCAATCCCAAGATTCTTGTTTTTTATTCTTGGTTTACCACTGTTGTTTGTGGAGCTGGCTTGGCGTTGGCATGTTTTTGTTCTCCCAGCATGCACTGCAGCGCTCCTTTCATTCGCCTCTCTTTGTGGTACAGTTATTTCTCTTATTCCTCTTCATTATCCTCCCTTTTACTCCTTTGTCTGTGTTTCATCTCTTGCTTACCCCCAGGGTAATTAAAAACGAGTCAAAAAAAACAACAAAAAGCCCTTCACTCAGTGTTGAGACGGCAGGCTCCATTACGGCACAGAAGCAGGCGGGTGTTTGCGGCCCTGAGCCGGGTCTCCACCCGCTGTGCATCACTTATGGGGCTCGCTTCTTCTTCCAGCACTCAGTGCGCTTGTTGTTTATGCAGCTGTGATTTAATATACTGGTCATAGAGGACTGTTATTAATAAATGACACGGTGTGGAGGGGTGCACGGTGAGCACCATGGGCCAGAGCTTCTGGAGAATATGGTGACTAACGGGGGCTCCGCCCCATGGCTGACACTGTGCTTAACCCCGCCCCCAACCTTCCCTTTGGCATTTGTGACTGGCTGCCTCTGTGGTCACTCAAGCTTGGAATCTTTATTAAAAACAAGAGTTTGGGAAAATCAAACCTGTGGCTGTGTTTGTTTGTGTAGCTTCTCTCTCTCTCTCTCTCTCTCTCTGTGTATTGCATGTGATAATTTTACTTTTCTGGAGGAAGACCATAATATCTGTAGTAATTGTAGTCCTGGAGATGCCCCCCAGCCGGATTTTAATGTGAGCGATGTGACATTTATCAGCACAGAACAGTCTGTCTTCGGGTGGAGCAGTAAACATGCTCTGCTATGGTCATCAGGCACCAAATTCATCTTAAGAGGCCTGATCTGTTAAGAATGGCCTTTTTTTTCCTTTTTCTTTTTTTTTACTTCCTCCGCATTCCTGTGAAAATGTTTAAATCTGTCCCATGCATGTGTTCTCCCCGCTTTAATCTCCGGCGGAGCTGGGAAGTTAGGAAACCAGGAGCCGCGGGAGGATCTCGTCTGACTCCGCGTCTCAGAGGGGAAATCAGGCGACGCGTCAATCAGAAGCCGAACCGTGACTGACACCATAATGCCACTTTCATTAGGGGGGGGGGGAAGCGAAACAAGCGGCATGAGCACACCTCAATTACTGTCACTCCTGTCGGTGTAATCAGGGGACCTCAGTGTGGGGGTGGAATCAGACACCCCACAAAGGATAGGAAGACAGAACAAAGGGGATAGACAGACCCAGACCCTGTTGAGTGGCAGCGATCTGAGGAGACACAGCGCCCATCTGGCCCAGAATCTTAATCGCGGACCCCAGAGCGACAGCAGCCGGCCCGACAGTCTGCTCTCGCCAACTGCCTCTGATTATATTCCCTCACTGAGGAGTCCATTCCTCATGGGCTGAGACCCAGGGACGGGTCCTGTGACTAACATTGGGGAGGGCGGTTTGTTGGTTTTGGGCTGTGTCTAGGGCAGCGTTGGCGTTTACCACTCAAGGTTTGGGTAGCCCCCTGTTGGCCACAAACAGTCACTACACTAAATATTAAACGTGCTCCGCATTTAGGAGGATAGCAGGTTCTTCTAACCAGCTAGCTGGCTACCATCATAGGGGGGGGGGGGACCTTGGGTGATCCGAGAGGAAGCCGGGAACGCCTTGCCGTACAGGTCGCTCATCAGCACCGGAGCTAATTTCCGCTAATGAAGGAAGGAGCCTGCAGCAGGGGTGGATCAGGACGAGCGGGAGGATGTTTACCAGCCCAGGATGCTGCAAGCGTGTCTGATTAAAGCTAATCACGGTCGGCCTGAACCCCGGTGGGGGGCGTGCACCTCTGGCGGCAGCGCGACTTTGATCCCTGTCTCTCACTGCACTAATCAAGCCATCCAGCAATTTCCCCCAGAATTAGCACAGCTCCCGGGCTGAATTCGGGCCCTGGATTACGAAGGCCCCCCAGCCAGAGGAGGCCTCGCCACCGTTGCTCTCATAAGGCGCCTCCTCGGATCTCTATCGCCAGGTGGATATCAGCTGAGTCGTCCTCGTATACTCCATGCTCTTCCAGCCTTGAAACAGCCAATCAGAGCAAAGATCTGGATGCTGGGTTGACTCGTATGTGGCGATTACTGACCCGTCTGGGCTGCCATACAGATGAAGCTGGCCTTCATTCCTCTTCAGAGTTGGGAGATAGAGCACAGTTTGATGAACAGCTCAGGAAATGAAGGGAAAAAACAGCCAAAGTGCATAAACAATAAAGTATGTGATAATCAGTCAATCAGCGCCGTTAATCAAAAGCACACACCGCACGCGAGCCGTGTTCATCGCTGTGTCTCGGATAGGCAAATGCCCATCGCTGCCGGGCCGTCCAACCCTCTGTTGCCAGCCGCCGCTACTGGGAATGCTGGCAGGATCCCTGCTGATGCCATCACCTCCATGCCCAGGCTGCCTGCGGCCCGCCAGGCTAAATATCACCGCCTCCGCCACGTGTGACGCCTCGCTGTCGGTCATGCCCCCAGTCACGCCTCAATGCCCCCACGGCCGGGGTGGGGGGCACTCTGCTGATACTCACCGACTGGGTTCCCACTGAGGATTTTGCCAGAACACAGCAACAATTGCAACCTTGAATTGGCACTTAAGCAGTTCTTGTATGATATTTAAAATTGTCAGACAGTGATTTGTGTTTTGCCAAATGGAATTGCACTTTTATTTTCTGTCTGTTGGTTTATCGTGTTTGTGTGTGTAATTTAAATATAATACCAGAAGACTGAAGTGGCACATTAAGATGCCAGGATATACAATTTTTTTATGCAGTTGCCCCCCCCCCCCAATACACATACACACACACCTGTTCCCCTGGTAACTGGACTGTAAAGGGATGGAAAATCATTAAGGCAAGAAAAAAAAAAGAATTGTTTACCTCTTTTGGGGTTTCGGGGCTGTAATTTCGCTGTTTTGTTTTGTTTGTTTTTTTTTGGGGGGGGGGGGGAGGTGACACGCTTATGCATATCAATCTGTCTCCTGCTCACTCTGCTGTCTCCCCCGTCTGCTTTCCATCCAGGCATTATTCTCCTCTGGCGTCCCCTGTTCTGGTGCCTGAATATCACTTCCCACGGTCTTTTAAGCACTTGTGATATTTGCATTTAGTGGCGCACAAACTGTCATATTCTGCGGCAGAAGCACGGTGCAGGTCAACTTCACACGCCTGGTGTCTCACTCGGGTCGTCTTTTTGTCGCCTCGATTCCGCAACAGATTGTTGATTACGGAACCTCCTGGAAATCTATAGACAAAAATATCACCGAGCGGGACCTTCCGCCACGAGAGGGCGCCGTTGGATAGGAAGCCGCAAAGGCGAACCCGGGGTAAACAGGCCGAACGCGCTGGGTAACAGCCGGGGGCTGCATTCTCGGGCCGTCCCAGAGCCCTGGGAATCTCCTGGCATCTCGAGTACAGGTAAATGAGCATGTTTTTTAAGTAATGTGGAGGACTTCTACACACGAGCCTTATCTTGTGAATATCGTGTAAAGGTATTTAAGACTATCCTTCCATCTTCCCTGTCAGCACCATAGGGCACGGGGGGCAGTCGGCCACATGAGCGTGTAGAAAGCACATGTTTTCTTGTACGGACGCCTATCATCCAGAATCACGCTTCTGCTGAGCGCTCTTGTAGCAAAGTCATGTAAAATAGATGCATTTTGTGTCTGCGCTCAACAAATCGAAGCCCCTCCGCAAATTTACATAATAACAAGCTGCTTCTCTTGACGTTTGTTTTGCAAACAGTTGCTGCAGAGATATTTTTCCTTATTCAGCCCGTGACATCGCCACCCCTCCCGCCCCGCATAGGCACATATACACATAGTAACCAGAACACGAGCAGAATCTTAACCTCCCAGGGTCCATAAGGGCTGGCTGTCCTTTTAGAAAAGGAAAACAGGGACCCTGCTGCTGAAGCCTTGAGAAAGAATCTCAGCCCACAAGGTTTTCTGTGAAATCTCCTATGGGACGAGAGGGCAAGAGCACGTGTAACTTTCAGTAACCTAGAATAAGCCACCTGCTTAGTAACACAATGAATAAAATGGTAGATAATGCGAAGCTTTTCTGATATCAGCATGTGAGCACCGAGCTGACAGGTCACCCGGTTTAACGGGATTCCAAACTGCGTCCGACTAAAAGATCCCACGGCGCTCCCGGGATCCCACACCGATCCCATGGTTGCGTGGGCGTCCTCGTGCGGAGCTCCGAGCCTCCGATCGCGCGACAGCCCCTAACCTGCGGCTTTTCGATCGCGTGGCAAGTGAGCGGGGGGACACTTATTACGGCTCCGCGTGGAAGGAGGTGATGGGGAAGGGTGATTGCCGTGAAGATCAGCGGCATGTCCATTTTGCGAACTGTTTCGTAATAAATGCTTCTGAAGGGTTAATGTCATAATATCAAGCAGCGTCTCGCACCTCCTATCTGCTAGAGCCGCCGTGCATAGGCATTGCCACAGTGCAACAAATTTGTATTTCTGCAGCATCTCGATGACTTCGAGGCAATATCAAACGCCATAAAAGAAGTTCTGCCAGACAGGCTGGCCTTCGTTTGTACGAGTTTGTCTGTTTGCGAAGGCCCAGTAGAAGCCAGCCGTTGGTAGCTCATTAATCGATAAACACGCAACCTTGTGTAAAACGCTCTCAGAAAAGAAATGTGCTCTTTCGTATATTTCCTTGCTTGTAATTACCTTATACACCAGCAACGGAAAAGGCTTTAACGACTGTTCTACAACCATTCTACAAATGAGTAATCATTGATTAATTAAACAAAATAAAGATATTTATTAATTTAAGGAGCAACATTTTATGAATGAATAATATCAATGTAGTGTTTTATTTAACAAATATTAATTATAATAAAACTATAAGCATTACAGTTACTCTTATCAACAATTTAACACAATTGGGAAATTAAAGTCTTTAGAACCCTCATTTGGTTTAAAGTGACTTTCGTTGAAATCATTAAAATGTCAAATTTAAGAGGCTCAGCTGAGCCTTATTAATGAGTTTCTCAGCTGGACTGCAGAGTAGCGTGCAGCATGGCTGGCGGGGGTCAGGGTTAGGAAAAGGTGCTGTGACATGAGCGGGGGGGGGGATAGGTTATGCAGGCGGCTGGCTGACAGCATGTGCAGCCTGTTGTGGTTTTGTCACATGACCGCTATAAACCTCGCTATCACAGTTTGATTGGATAGACGATGGATCTCCCCTCCTTTCCGTGCTCCCTTGTCCCTCCTCCTTTCTCTCCTCCGATGACCCTATGAAGTCCCCCCCAGCCCGGCTGTCACCCATGCCTCTCTCCCAGTTAACAATAATTACCCACCACCTCTGGTATAGATTTAGGAGCCACCAGCGACAGCCAGCTGCTCTGTTTCCGATGGCATCCCAAACACCCCCATGTTCTTCATGGTCTCCTTTCTGGCGGCACTTTGATCACATGGAGAAGCTGCTTTTAGGTTCCGACACCAGCGTGGCTCAGGTGTGCCAGCGTGTGCCACAGGGACGCAGAGGACGTTTTATCTCCAGGCCTGTCCCAGGGCTGCTCAGTAGAGCGTCCTCTCATGTACGTATCCTTCACACACACGCGCTCGGATACGCTCTCCCCGGCCTGCATGCAAATCCCACCTGAAGGCCTCGCTATTGCTGTTGACATTCATAAAACAATTTGGGCGAGTCTGTGATATTTGCTCCCTCCTGAAATGACTTTCATGAATATGAACAGGCTCCTTAATAAAGTCAGGACAGGCAAAAAAGATTCATCTTCACCCAAACAAGTTTTGTAGCAGCCCGAGATGCTCCTCCTCCCTGTGGACGAGGCTTGTTCTTCTGAACACTTTGTTATCTCCCTTGAATCCATATCTACTACAAGGCCATGTTCAGACTGTCGATTACCTCTGTGGGGTGACATGAAAGGTATTAAGGGCAAGAAAGCCACTAATTTATGGACCAACATGTATGTTTATGGATTTCTCCCGGAATCCATTTTAACGATTTCTGCGTAGGCCTGGTCTTCATAAATCAACATCCATAATCACAATTCTGTTACTGAGCTCTATATTTTTGTGTTCTGTGTGGCACATAATCTGATTTGTTGGGTGCAAATAAAAAAAAATTTGATTCTGGTTTCCGCTCAGAATAAACTGCTGTGATGCTAAACACACCACTAATGACATTTATTCTCTCTTACAAATAGTTTCGGGCAAGCTTTTCAATAGGCTCTTATTACAACACACTTTGGACTGTAATCCTATGCCATTCTCCCCCATCAAGTTACAAGGCAACAATATATGACTCAACATATCATTCGGAGCATCATTATTCAGGTTCTAGCCGTTGCTCAGCATTTTTCAGGCAGAATTTTTTCGCAGTCGCTCTACATCTATGAAACCCATGTGAGGTCATCACATATACTTAAAGTATTGATTTGATCGTTCGGGATATAGGTAATCACGCCCCTTGTTTCTCGTCATCTTGTGAAGTATCTGTCCCTTCTGAGGTAAACTAGAGTGGATTTATAGGTGATGAGTCAGCCTGCAGAGTGGGCAGTCATTGTTCAGTGTCTGTTCCAGTAAAAGGACCTGAGCACCACATGCACCGCTTATATGACGCACCAGTGCATTATGGTCCTCTGATCTCAAGTCCCATGCTAGTTATGAGAAAAAAAATTGTGAACCCTTTGGAATGAGCTGGCTTTCTGCATGAATGGCTCTTAGATGATCTTCATCTAAGTCATAATTTTAAATAAAGACAGACTGATTTAACAAATGATTATATATAATTAATCTCCTTGGAGAATATGTTTCCATTCTTTGAACCATTCCTCAGGGTGAGAGCTGATAAGGGTTTACACAATGGTGTGAGAAGCATTGATTGCTGTACTCAGTGTTTGTGTAGATGACTAGGGGGGTTAACTTTGCCCCTGTCTGTGTCCAAGCTCAACCAGCATGTTCATGACTTGTTTATCACAGAATGTCATTGATCGCTAAGTGATCATTGTACATCCATGCATGTTGGTGAGGGCTGTCTTTGAAGTTCTGTTGTGCAGCCACAAGGGGCCCTGAAGCCTGGGGCTGGAGTAAACTGGCAACCGGGAGGACGTCAAGGCTTTGATGGGAGATTGGCCCAGATCACCCCCTCGCTTCCCTCTCTTCTTCCATTCTCATACCTCGCAGCTCCTCAATGGTAATTTGCTAAACTCTGTCACACCAAGTTAAACAGTATTTTTACTGCAAGCTTTCTGCTCACACATGCTAAACGTCCAAGAGTTAAATCTTTTTTTTAAAAATCTCCCCATGTAGTAAAATTATAGATCAGACAAATTATACTCCCTAATTTGCACATAATACAAAAGCATGCAATATACTAAGGCGCATACATCTACAATCCTCAAGACAGAACATATGGTTAACAGGAGAAATAAGGAAACCATTTAAAGGTTTCGAAATTCAAAATTTTACAATTTACAAATCGATATTGCTGTGCTGGTAGTACAGATTTTATCTGCAGGGAACAGAAAACTTAACTGCACCATGTATATACATTTTATTATTACATTTTTCTTATCTAGAAATAACATGGTTGGAGCATTAGTCCAAATGAGTCCAATACGTAGGCCCACGTATTGATGCTCATGTATCTCAACTTGCTTAGACTATATATCACACACTCACTGGCCACTTTATTAGGTACACCTTGCTAGTATCGGGTTGGACCCCTTTCGCCTTCAGAACTGCCTTAATTCTTCATGGCATAGATTGAGCCAGGTGCTTGAAACATTCCTCAGAGACTCAGGTCCATGTTGACATGACAGCATCTCGCAGGTGCTGCTGATTTGTTGGCTGCACCTTCCTGATGCGAATCTCCCGTCACACCACGTCCCATAGTTGCTCTATTGGATTGAGATCTGGTGACTGAGGAGGCCATTTGAGTGCAGTGAACTCACTGTCATGTTCAAGGAACCAGTCTGAGATGATATGAGCTTTGTGTCATGGGGCGTTATCCTGCTGGGAGTAGCCATTAGAAGCTGGGTAGGCTGTGGTCATAAAGGGATGGACATGGTCAGCAGCAGCACTCAGGTAGACTGTGGCATTTAAACAGTGCCCAGTTGGTACTAAGGGGCCCAAAGTGTGCCAAGAAATTATCCGCCACACCATTACACCACCAGCAAGGGCTTGAATTGTTGGTACCAGGCAGGATGGATCCATGTACCTAATAAAGTGGCCAGGATCTCTGTGCCTGTGCATAGATTTTGAATAGTCATAATATTAAAACCACTTGTCTAATATTGTATAGTGCTGACACTTGAGGCACGGACTGTACAAGACCTCTGACGCTATCCTGTGGTATCTGGCATCAAGACATTACCAGCAGGTCCGTTAAGTCCTGTAAACTGTGCAGTGGGGTCTCCATGGATCGGACGTCTCTGTGCAGCACACCCCACAAACACTCGATTGGATGGATATCTGGGAAAGTGGAGACCAAGTCAACACCTTGAGCTCTTCTCATTAAAAAAACACATTGAATTCTGTTCCTCAAACCATTCCTGAACAATTTTTGTAGTGTGACTGGGCACATTGTCCTGCTGGGAGAGACCATCAGAGAATTCCGTTGCCATGAAGGTGTGTACTTGGTCTACAACGATATTTAAGTAGAGGATACGTGTCGAAGTAACATCTACATGGATGCCAGGACCCAAGGCTTCCCAGCAGAACGTTCCCCAGAGCATCACACTGCCTCTGCTGGCTTGCTGTCTTCCCATAGTGTACCCTGGTGCCATATCTTCCTCAGGTAAATAAAGGACACAAACACACACACACGTGATGTGACTCATATACAAGGCCACCTTCTTCCATTGCTCCATGGTCCAGTTCTGTCACTCGTGGGCTCATTGTTGGCACTTTTGGTGGTGGACAGGGGTCAGCATGGACACTCTGATGCAGCTACATATGCAGTGAGCTGTGATGCACTGTGTGCTCTGACACCTTTCTATCATAGCCAGCATTCACTTTTTCAGTAATTTGTGCTACAGCAGCTCTCCTGTGGGATCAGACCAGGCGGGTGAGCCTACACTCCACACACGCCTCAGTCAGCCTTGGGAGCCCATGACCCCATCTTTGGTTCACCAGTTGACCTGCCTTGGACCACATTTGGTAGGAACATCCCAGGAACACCCCACAAGACCTGCCGTTTTGGAGATGCTCTGACCCAGTCACCTAGTCATCACAATTTGTCCCTTGTTAAAGTCAAATCCTTATTCTTGCCCATTTTTCCTGCTTCCAACACATCAGCCTAAAGAGCCGCCTGTTCACTTGCCTAATATATAATGACACATTTGATAGGTGCCATTGTAGAGAGACAATCAATGTTATTCATTTCACCTGTCAGAGGTTACGGCTGACCGGCGGTGATGTGTATATATATACAAACACACACACACACACGTGTGCGTGTATTTTTTCCCCCTAGACACACACACACACACACATATATATATATATAGACTGGGTACATCACCCATTAAACTGAGGAAATATAGGTAAACGCCGGAGGTGAGCTCATGGATGAAGGGATTTCCCAGAGGAAGGAATGAACCATGACAGCTGTAAAGGGGCACTGAAAAACATATAATACATACTCACGGTTGTAGTATGATGAAAAGTCCCAATTTACGTGTCATACGTACTAATTACGGTTGATCCTTAACTCAGCATTGATGCCTTATCGTTATAAATTCACATGGTATTTTTCAACCTAATTCTGTTAAGAACACATGAGCAGTACGCATAGATTGAGCTTTCTGGATTTGGTATAGCCCAGTGTCAGCCCGGACAGTTTGTAGGTTTTAACGATTTTAAACGTTAAATTGAGGCTACATGTTGAGATGACTGGACTTTTTCTGCACAGTCTATATATGTTCTGTACTGCTAAACGGTTTTTTCTGTCTTGAGCTTCCTCCATAAATTACAGTATGCTAATCTCGTTACAATCTTAGAAGAATTTCAAAGTCCATTTATTAATCTTCAAAGCGCAACTGACGCCATTTTGAGTCTTTCTATCAGGGCAGCACAGTTATGAAGATGACAGTAAATACGGAGCCAAAATGAAGGGCATTGAACACAGTTTCATAACCTGAATTTGCTTTGTAAAGCTTAGCCCCAAGCGGACACAATCAGATGGGTAGTTCCACTGCACCTTGAGGGGGATGTCACATCTTCGACCAAGAAGAACATAGCCAAAGTAAATATATTTAATACATAATATAACTCACAAGGCTCATATTCTAGTTACGACACATGCATTTTTAAATGTGGGTGAACTGTTCTTTCTGCTAACAGCTTAAATTTTGTACAATATCCCAGCGTCCCCCATCCTGCCATTGGTCGCGCCCACACTCCAGCTGATCGGCCTTGGCTCCCGGTGCGGACCCTCGGACTGTCCACGGCCGTATTTGCCCTGAATTAGCACGGTTCATACTGCCTCTCTTGTAGCGGCCGCTCGTCTCGGGAAAGCACTCCGCCTTCCTTGGTTATCTGGACCAGAAAGCCCCTAGTGAGGCAGGGTTCTCTCTTTTTGTCCACGGCTGGGCGAGGAGCCTCCTCACAGCGAACAGGCCGCTTCCTCGTCCCCGGTCTCGCCTGACTACGCCTGCCGTTTCGAGCGATGGGGGACACGGGCAGCGAACGCAGCAAGCCGCCCAGCATACCGCCCCGCTGTCCTTGCGGGTTCTGGGGGTAAGGCGCCGGGGTCCGCGGCGATGGCTGGACTGCTAATGCTATGGGGCTAAGATGGTGGGAAAAGCCCCCATTGTTGTGGAGAAGCATCGGCGGCTAGGCCGGGATGGGGGCGGGGGACCTCCTTTACGTGGTGATAGGGCTGAAAATCTGCGCCTGTGTCCGGCGATCAGCTGTACAGTGTCTAACCAGGCCGGGTAGCCCGGGTTTACTGTCCTTAAGTTGCGTGTTAATGTTTATTTCCCCCTGGCACAGCTTAATGTCAGATATCACAGCGTGTGTATATCTAAAGCTTTCGGCTTGAGGCGTTTTTCGGACACACGGGCTGCTGCTCTGTATAGCACCAATTTTTTTCGGTATGTAACTTTATATGGTAATTCCGGTTCCTTCTCATTAATGGTTATGCGCCAAACATATGTTAAACATTATGCCCCTAATCAGATTTCTGGCAGCTTCATTCACGGTCCTGTTTGTTACTCCCTTTCTTAGTGTCAGTTTAGTATTTGTCTACCTTATTTTTACGTTTTCCATGTCTGTCACGGTTTGAAGACCGTCCCTGGAATGCTAGATAACGCAGGGATAATGTCGACTTTTAATGACACCAAACTGGTCGAAAACTGCCCTCTAGTTTCCGCCGTACTGTAGGAAATAGCCTTTAAAGAACTGCAAACATGGAGGGACTGGCCTCTCTGGTCACTTGTGTGGGCTTTAGCTCTGCCTGTTTGCACACTGAGTGTGTTCGCAGATAGGGCCTTTTCGGACCTGTATATTGTCTTTAGGCTTCTCGCCTTGGTGAATTAACGTGTGGGTCGCTATGCAAAGACTGGCGAAAAGCAGCATCTTTGGACCTAAAAGGCGTTTTTCTTGCCTTCTGGTAACTGGCGCCCTTAGTCCTCCACAGGCTGTTTGTGGCTAGTGGGACCGAGGGACTGGGCTCTCGTGCCCTCAGATGTGGTGGCTGGGGCTGCGGTGTACTTTTGATGCTGGTGGGACTCTCTTTCCCTTTACCAACACGTGAAGCAGATTAACTGGCAGGCCAGCACATCCCATAAATGCCAGACGCTTGTAGGGACCTGGAGACAGTCTCTCTCTAGTGGGGTGTCTGACTTGACACGCTTGGCAGGCAGTGGCAGTACGTGGTCAGACGTGTTCGCACAGCTGTGCCGTTTTGGGGGTGGGGGGGGGGGCTGCTTGGGCAGTGGGCTCAGTGGTAGGTGGGGGGTGACGAGTCATGGAGACCAGTGGTATTGCTAGTGAAGGGGTTATTTTTGGATCTTGGGAACCTTGTTTACCACAAAATGTCGAGTTACCTTTTCGGGTTTAACATATAAACTTTAAAGCCCCCCACACCCCCCATGGTGTTTTCTGTCATCTCCGTACTGCAGGACCCTGGAAATTCCCCTGTGACTTCAGCTTCTCAGTGACAGGCCATTTGTGCAAGGGGTCCAGGATTCCTAATGTAAATATAGTGTATTTTAAAAGGTCCCCTAAGTCCTTTTGCACCTTGACCATGGTGCCAGAGTTACATCCTGCTCCCGAGGTGGTTAGTGCCTCGTGAGGGTTAAGCACCGGGGGCTGGTTCTCCAGCTTCAGCTGTCCCTATATTAGCAGAAAGCATGCAAGCGGCTTTGTGTGTGTCTCTCCGGTGCAGAGCCGACGCCCCCCGTTCTCGGCCCACCGCTACGTGCCAGGGGCCTTCTCTCGTTCATTCTGCCGTCGATGTTACTTCCATGACTCTCCCATATTGTTAGTGGCCAGATGGTCTGCCTGGGCAATTTGGCTGTGTCTTTGCCTCTAGGGGGCGCTGTCATGGGCCTCACCGGGGATTGGATCAAGTAACTTATTGTTTTGTTTGCTTGTGTGCCCCCCCAGCCTTTCTCTCCCCTTCCCCTCTCGGTGGAGCGCGTGGGCAGCCTCGACCACTTGATTGGTGCCCTCCCCGCCTCATGAGCCTTAATTACGAATGACATTTAACAGGAGATGCTAAATGAATCCTGCTCTGGCTTCATTATCGCCATGCAGCCCTGGGCTTGATTGGCTTGGAGAGAATTGGAGGGGGAGTTGTTTGCCTGCTCCCTCTTCTCCCCCACTTCACACTCCTTCATCTGGGAGGTGCTTCCTGTACCTTGTGGGTCCTGCTCTCCTTTGGGGGTGGGAGGGAACATCACCTGGTCTGTTTTTTTTTGGTGGTGTTCTTTGTTTCGGGGTCGGGGGGTGCGGATAAGGATGTGCATGTACCCACACAATAAAACCGGAGACAACCAAGATGGATTCTAATTTCACTGCACATTTGGTCTGCCCCTTTGCGATCTGTTAAACAGACGCACAAATATCTCCACACAGCCTGCTCTGTACTGGATCCCAGCCTCACCCCGGTGAGGTTTGGCCGTGGCCTCTGTCCGGCAGGGAGGTGCTCAGCGAAGCGGCCTTTTCTTCGCCTGCTTATTGGTCTGGGGAGAGATCAAGGCTTCAGCTACATGAGGCCTGCACCGCCGATTGACTTTGACTAATGATCTCCATGGGCACGGCCGAAAATAACCGCTGCTGGCGCAGACCAAGGCTTTCGGGCCATTATTGGCACTGCACGGCACTCTGGTAACCAGGGACTCAATTAGATCGGTGCCAGGTTTAAAAGCCTCGTAGTTGTCTGACATTGCATATTCACGGTGTTGCCGTGCATCCGTGTTTGGAAATGTTTTGTGTTACAGAAATGTGCACCGGATTTGCCAAATTTCACATGCCTGGAAAAAAAAAACGACCAATTTCTTGTCGGTGATGAGAGATCCGCTGCTGTCTCTCGGAAGTAGGTCAGCAGAGAGCGAGCCGGTTATGAAAATGGACTTGTCACCTGTAGGTTGTCAGTTTGTGGACCCAGAGCGGCTCTCCCATCAGACCCTTGAGAAGGGTGCCTAACCTGAATCAGGCCAGTGAAGAACCCAGATGTGTGTAGTTAAAAATGGTTTGGGGCGAAAGTGTCAGCTGAAAGTGTGGAATTGGTTGGCCTTCCGGTGTGCAAGTACAGCCTGGGCTATAGTAAGGCACCACGGGAGGTGGTGATAAGCGTAACGTAGCCCAGCGCTTGGGGGGTGGCCTTTGGTGTGCTCTTGTTTCTTTGTGTCACGTCAGGGTTCGTCCCGCTCTTTGCGTTTTTGTGCGATGCTACCCGATGTTTGTGCCTGTCAGGTCTTTCCCGTTCAGGACCCTCGTTAAGGACTCGTGGGCGGCCGGGCTGACAGCCCCCGTGCCTAGTTAAGGCAGCGAGCGCACTCTCCTAGAATCTCCGTCTGACGCCGCCCCCACACCGCTACTGCCGATTGGGTTTGGGTCTGGGGGTGGGCGCTGCTGCGCGGTGCCATTTCCAGCCTGCAGTCGGAACCGATCTGGGCAACACGGGGCCGTAACTCGGGGGTCGTGTGCCAACTGGGGGACCAGGCAAAAACGCTGTGGGCAGACTGGACTGGGGCACTGGCGCTGCATGCGAGGAGCTGTCCGGATGTGAGAGGGTCTGTAACAAGATGTGCAGTGAGTGTGTTTGTATGTGTGTGTGTGTGTGTGTGCGTGTATGTGTATGTGTGTGCGTGAGCCTTGTTTATAAGCTCAGTAAAAAGCCCCGGAGAATAATCTCACCGTCAGTTGTCAGTTGTCATCTTTTTTGACAGTGGTGGCAGTTTCAGTGCCTGTGGTTTGCTTGTCAGGGGCTGCTTTAGTAACCCTGTGTGTTTCGCTTTTTAAACTCTGCCCAGGGTTACGTCTCTGCTGTTTCCCAGACGCTAAGGCTTCCCGTCTTTGTGCTCCGTTGGGATTTCTGTGGGTTAAGTCTGTGCTCTTTGTTTCCTAATCAGCACACAGCGCCGCCTTTCCCCTCTCCGTGTGTTTTTGTGCGTGTTCCCCCCCCCACGCTCCGCTCTCGTCTTAAGAAGTCTGCAGTGGAGTTATTTTCATTTACAGTTAGTGATGTATAAATGCATGTAGAGATTTCCACTCGTTAAACCAGACACCCCCAGCCCCTCGCCAGAAGCATGCGCTTCTCTGGAGCGCCCTCTGCAGGAACCTCGTGTAACCTCTCGCATGGCTTTCTCTTTGCCAGGTCCAGCAAAACGATGAACCTGTGCTCCAAGTGTTTTGCAGGTAAGTTTTCCGTCCCCCTGTTTATCGAGTCCTACTCGGTAGACGGCAGCTCTACCGGTTTTCCAGAACATGGCGGGGG